TGCTCCGTGTCGAGGGGTCTGTAGCTTCCACACTGCGGATCCGCCTCGGGAGGCTTCCATGGCCCTGCAGCGGACTTTGTCCATTAGGAAAGGTGCAGCACAGGTCACAGCGCCCTTGGGGGGACGGCCTGCAGGTGACTTGCACCTCCCACGCCCCTGCCTCATCACAGGAAACTCAGCCTCCAGGTCGGGATAAAAGCAGACTGCTCTTGAGAACCATTTCCAAACTTAACCTCATTGCGTGACATCTCCAGTCCCAGCACCGCCATAGGGTGTGTGGTCTCCGTTTCAGGATTTCTGCTCATCCAGAGCCCCCAGTGCCGGTGCCCAGCCCCTCAGACACACGGTGCTGGCCCCTGGCTCATCTGTCCCTGAGCTTGAGGGCCGGTGGCCACTGCCTCTCACCACTTGGTGATGTGACTTCTCAGAGGTGAACTGGATACATGTGGGAACAGGTGGAAGAGATGCTTAGTGTGGGGCCTCACTCTCCCTTTGGGATCCATGCACTTCAAGACCACAGGGAGCTCTGTCCCTGGTGACCACGCTGTTCCTGTCCTCTGAACAGGTCAGTGAACAGCTACATAGCGTCCTGGGCTCACAGCTCCCCACCTTCAGCATCCCCGCCTGTCCCTGGCATTCAGTGTGCCTGGTGCCAGATGTCAGAGGTGACTGCACTGTGGTTTTCAGACACGAGAGTTTGTCTCGTGTGAATTAAAACCTGAGAACAGCAGTTTTCAGCCTTATGTTTAGTTTTAGCAGGGATGTCCCTAAATCCTGAGTTGCTGTGGTTTGAGGGGTCACCACAGCCTCTAAGTAGTTTCAAGCTGAAGTGTGGATAGGGGCTGTGGTGGGCTCTTTCTTGCCCGGGAGAAAGCCCTGGGCCTTCCTGAGAGGCGAAGCCGCTCCTGTGGAACCTGGCCAGTGTGACAGAGGGAGATACTCGGCAGGACCAGGGTGGCCTCATCAGCGCTAATTCAAGAACAAAGGGGAACCCAGGGCTCCAAACTTAAATTACAGAAATGAACCATCTTAGTTGGGGAGAAAGAAGGTATAATTCCTAATAGTTGGCTCAGCAGTTAAGTATTTTTTAGGAAATGAAAATTTGATAAAAGTCCCCGATGAAATTCAAGGGTGCGAGCAATAAGCATAATATTTTTTGAAAATGACCCCCATATTTAAAGTCTGGCACTATATGTTATGCATTGTAGCACCCGGTCCACATCTACCTTTTAGAAAATTAAAACACATAAATTCTGTTTAGTGTTTGATACGCGCTGCACTGGCTGAGAACCGTAATGCCCTGAAACCTTGGGCTGCTTTCCACCTTTCATAAATTCCTGGGCAGATTCTGTACAGAAATAATTTTCAGGTCCGTGGCTTGTTGTTATTCAGACGTGATGGATCGCCGTCATTTGCTCAGCGCGGGAGCTAAGTGCCCCCGTCATTTCCAAAGAGTATAATTGGGACGTTTCACAGGTCAGCGGTGGAGACAGGCTTCCCTTTTGATCAGTGTTAGACTGATAACAAAAATTACAGTTTCCAGTGATTAATGTCTCCTGTGTTTCCCAGATGTATGGCCATGGGCCGCTCCTAAACAAAGTATACTTGGTCTGACGATGCTGGTGTTGGGGCCGCCTCCCGACAGGGTGCTGGGGCCTGGGCCCTGTGGCCTCCTGTGGCTTGGCTCCATGGGGCCTGACTCCTTGGAGACTGGTTCCATGGGGGCTGGCTGGGTGGGGCCTGGCTCTTTGTGGCCTGGCTGCTTGGGGCCTGGTTCCGTGTGTCCTGGCTTTGTGTGGCCGGCTCCATGTGGCTTGATTCCATGTGGCCTGGCTCTGAGGGGGCTGGCTCCCTGTGTCCTGGCTCCATGGGGGCTGGTTGCGTGGGCCATGGTTCCGTGTGGCCTGGCTCCATGGGGGCTGGCTGCATGGGGCCTGGTTCTGTGTGGCCTGGCTCTATGGGGCCTGGCTCTGTGTGGCCTGGCTCCACGGGGGCTAGCTCCATGTGGCCTGGTTCCATGTGGCCTGGCTCCATGGGGACTAGTTCTGTGTGACCTGGCTCCATGGAGGCTGGCTCCGTGTGGCCTGGCTCCGTGTGGCCTGGCTCCGTGTGGCCTGGTTCTGTGGGGGGGGCTGGTTCCATGGGGGCTGGCTCCATTGGGCTAGTTTCGTGTGGCCTGGCTTTGTGACTGGCTCCATGTGGCTTGATTCCATGTGGCCTGGCTCTGTGGGGGCCCACTCTCTGTGGCCTGACTCTGTGTAAGCTGGCTCCATGTGGCTGGCTCCTTGTGGCCTGGTTCCATGTGGCCTGGCTGCGTGGGGCCTGGTTCCATGTGGTCTGGTACTGTGGGGCCTGGCTCTATGGGGGCTAGCTCTGGCCTGGTTCCGTATGGCTTGGTTCCATGTGGCCTGGCTCCATGGGGGCTGGCTTCATGTGGCTTGATTCCATGTGGCCTGGTTCCATGGGGGCTAGTTCCATGTGGCCTGGCTCCATGGGGGCTGGCTCCATTTGGCCTGGCTATGTGAGGCCCGGCCCCATGGGGCCTGGTTCTGTGGAGGGCTGGCTCCATGGGGCTGGTTCCATGTGGCCTGGCTTCGTGGGACTGGCTCCATGTGGTTTGATTCCATGTGGCCTGGCTCTGTGTCCTGGCTTTGTGGGAGCTGGTGCTCCATGGGGCCTGGTTCCATGTGGCCTGGATCTGTGTGGCCTGGCTCTGTGGGGGCTGGCTGCATGAGGCCTGTTTCCATGTGGTCTGGTTTTGTGTGGCCTGGCTCTGTGGGGGCTAGCTCCGTGTGGCTTAATTCCATGTGGCCTAGCTCCATGGGGGTTGGCTCTGTGGGGGCTGGCTTCATGTGGCCTGGCTCCTTGGAGCCTGGTTCAGTGGGACCTGGTTCCGTGGGGAGTGGCTCCGTGGGGCCTGTTACAGTGGGGGCTGGCTCCGTGGGGCTGGCTCTGTGGGGGCTGGCTGTGGAGCCGTGGTCCCCTGCTTACTTGGGCTTCATTTCTGGTGAACATGTGGGCTCTTGCCCTGAGGATCAGGCTCTTCTTAGTTGTCCTTCCTCCCTTCAGGAAACACAGCTGGGATTGTGGGTGCTTTGAGGTGTTGCTGCTGGGAATGCTTTTTAGAAATGACACTGTGTGTCAGAGTGATTCCATTTCCCAGTTTTCCTCTTATAAACCCTTTAAAGTTCCCCCTGTTGGTATTCCTCCAACAGCGATTTCCCTTCCAGGACATTTCTCTCAGCTGTGCTGTGGGGCTGTGGGAATGCAGGCGCCTTCACCCTGGGGGCACCTCCACCCCCAGGGACACCTCCACCCAGAGACACGTCCACCCCCACCACCGAGGGACACCTCCAACCCGGAGGCACCTCCACCCCCACTACCCAGGGACATTTTCACCCAGGGACACCTCCAACACACCACCCAGGGACACCTCCACCCGGGGCACCTCCACCCCACCACCCAGGGACACCTCCACCCGGGGCACCTCCACCCCATGACCCAGGGACACCTCCACCCGGGGCATCTCCACCTGGGGACATCTCTATCCTGGCCACGCTGGGGGCATGACCTTCAGCTGCTCCTAGTAGCCCTGCTAGCTTGTCTCCTGGCATGAGGGAGCTGAAGGCGAGGAAGGACCACCCTGCTGTGCTGAGCCCACACAGCACCCCCTCTGTTGGTAGCAGAACGCCAAGCTGCCTTGTGGCCTTAACGGCCAAGACAAATTGGGGAGGTGCCTGCCAACCTGCCGCCTGCCGTGCAATAAAGTTTCCACTTTATAAACTGTTCCTGGGAGGCCTGGCTCTGGGAGCCAGCCCCCATGGAGGGGGTATTTATGGTGGGTGAGCTGTAGGCGGGGCTCTCAGGGAAGGATGGTATGGCCTGGGGTTTGCTTGCCAGCTCCCACACCCCGTCTTGGGCTGTGGTGGGGCCAGTGAGAAGGTGAGGCGGAAAAGAGCCTGCGCACGGCCACTTTGGAGCACGTGAGCAGAGCAGGCAGTGCCCTCTGTGTGGCCGTGTTACTGAGCAGTGGGCTCGCTGCCCAGTGCACACGGAAGCCAACACTACAGTACCAGCTTTTGGGAATAGAAAAAGGTTATCACAGGGCAGGCAGCAGGTTGGCAGCGCCTCCCTGATTTGTCTTGGCCCTGTTACGGCCACAAGGCAGCTTGGCATTCTGCTACCAACAGAGGGGGTCCGTTACAGCTGCGGCCATGGTCTCTTGTGCCACAGCCCTACTGTGTGGAGGGGCCACTGTCTCCCTCTGGCTTGATGAGATGCATCACTACACAGGTCCCTGCCTCTGACCACCGAGTTGGGTGGAAGAAGGGGCAGAGTGCGCTCAAGGAACTGGTTTCTCAGGGGAAAAAGAAAGCAAGCCTTCCTTCCGTTCTCTAGCTCCTCAATGGGAGGAGGGAAGCGGGGGTGACACGAGGGCTCTCAGACTCAGTGAGGGATCCCCCCTCAGCAACCCTGGCAGAGAAGTGACCTTGTTAAAAGGAAATAGAGGTGGTTTTCATGACAAATCCTCAAGGACAGAATGTTCCAGAAATACCTGTCCCTTCCTGTTGTCTGACATGCTGTGGTCACACCAGCACCACGGGAGAACCCTGTGTGGGGAGCTGGCCCCGGCCTGTTGCCTCAGAGCAAATGCACCTGCTCCACCTGGCGGGAGGATGAGTCCCATAGGCCAGGGTCCATTCAAGGACAGCAGCTCCCACAGCGACCTGGGGAGTGAGCCAGGGAGGGTTATGGTTGGTGGTTTCAACATAGACTCTAAACAGCCCCCAGTATAGGGCAGTGCAGAGGTGGTGTAATTTGGGGGAACAAGAACAGCCTTGGAGACGACCTTAAATGCAGTCCAGCTGTGGCTGATGCTGGAGTCCTAACCCGGAGAAAAAGCTCCACAACGAATGGGACTCTCCAGGGCCCTGCCTTCTGAGAGCTGTGTTCATACACAGGGTCTGGGGGTTGATTTGTACTGGGGCGTTTTTCCACAGACTGAATCCCTGGGGGATGGGGAGGAAGACGAGGACGATGAGGACTTTGTGGAGGTGCCTGAGAAGGAGGGGTATGAGCCCCACATCCCTGACCACCTGCGGCCTGAGTATGGTGAGCAGTGGGCCCCATTGGGGGTGCCTGGGTGGAGGGTCCCCCACTCAGGATGTGAGTCCTTGCGGCCAGGCCCTCAGGGGCAGGTCTTGTGTCACTGCTGCTTTGGTTTGAAATGGTGCTTTTCCTGCATGTGTTCATAGCCACGAGGCTGAGAAGTTACGTGCAGGCCTTTCCTTCGGTGCTCTGGCTCTGTCTCAGGCCTGGGGCCCTCCCTGCAGCCTGCCCCGAGGTGGGCTCCCTCTCCTCTGGTCCTGCTGGTCATCCTTTGCCAGGCAGGCACTCAGGTGCCCAGGTCTGGGGCATCGGCCACCATCCTACCATTGGTTCCTGTGTGGGGAGGCCCCAGCACACATGCCTGCCCTGAGGACACAAAGGGCAGGTCCTGACCCCTACCCCTGTGCCATCAGCAGCCCTGCTTAGGAACAGAAAGGGTGGACTCCTTGGACTTGAGGTTTGTGGGGTGTGATTCCTGCAGTTACAGGAGCCGTGGCTGGCAGGTGGGAGGGGCTGCCACCCTGTGCCCTCCAGGCTCCCCTCCCTGCTTAGGGGGGTCACAAGCACAGGTGTCCTCAACATTGGTGATGCCACAAACTCGGATCTGGGCCCAGGGCTGCTGTGCGCTCCACAAGGCGCTTCTCAGGGAGCACTTGGAGGGCGCAGGGTGCAGCTGCCACTGCCTGTACCATCAAGGGTGGAGGTTTTTCAAAGATACCTCCCAGAGCCACGTTCCATTCCATACCCAGGATTGTGGCCCTCCGGGGAGGGTGGGACCCAGGTGGGTCTGCTCTTGAAGTTCCCCGAGAGGCCGCACAGTAGAGTTTGCTTTGAATGGAAGCAAATGAAAACAAGACCCTTAGCTTTTGTATGAAATAGACAAGTTGGTTTGAATCAGAGTCTATAAGAAGAGATGTAAATTTGTTAAGAGAATTTAGATGATGAGGCAACTCATGTGTGAAGATATGACCCATTAAGAGTGTCATGCCAAATTAGCACAACCAGGCTTCTAATGACCTTCCATTTGTATGGTCCTGTTTACTGGGACCTGCTGGCTGGGAAGGCTGAGCTCCTGGGGTCCGTGTGAGCTTGAGGGTCTGGAAGAAGGCCTCAGACACCTGAGCCCGGCCAGGACCTTTCCCTGGGTACCACGTGGCCTGGCGCATTCTGGACCGTGGTCCCATGCTGCCTCTCCAGGGGTTCCAGCCAGGCAGGTAGAGGAACTGCATGCCTCTTCTGGCCACTGACCTCACAGCTTCAGACTCTTTCCCCCCGCCGAGCTGCAGCCCCAGCTGTGCCCTCACTCAGCCTGCCCTGCCGCCACCGCATACACTCCCTTCTGCCAACACCAGCCTCCACCTGAAATGGTCTTTCTGCTGACTTCTTACCTCCGGTAGGGGTCCCCACGCCTGACAGGAGGCACCTGGGGATGCCTAAGCATGTGTTTGTGTGCCACAATCTCCTTCCTGGCTCTCGGCCACCCTCAGGTGGCCCGGGCTGTGGGCCCAGCCTGGGAGTGCTGTGAAAGCACAGTGGTGTCTCCTCCTGGAGGTGCTGCAGCCGGGGCCCAGGCAGCCGTCTAATAGGTGCAGGTCTGCCCTGACCTGGCCTGCTGGATGCCTCATCTCCCGGACTGCTCCTGGGCATCTTCAGTGTCTGGCAGCTGGCACTGACTCTTGGCCTGTAGTGTCCCTGGCATTTCGTGGCCCTGGGCCTCTGCATAGGCCTGTTACAATGGCTTGGGAGCCCTTTCAGCAGAAGTCACACATCTGGGACAGATTGGTAGAAAGCTACACTTTCCCTGAAACCTGACTTGTGGCTCTAAATGATCTGAAGCAAGGCCAGAAGCAAATGCAAATGTGGTGACACTCCAAAGAACAGAGCAATCTCCTTTCATCAGAAGAGCTGAGGCCCCCTTTAGCCTGTGGCCAAACACGATGACAGTGCTCACTCGTCACCAGGCCTGGCCGTCCCTCCCCACTGGATCCCGGGGGTCCTGAGCCCATCGACAACAGCGTCCAGCCAAGGGGGCCGTAGCCCCTGCCAGGTTTACTGGGACACCTGCTCTGACACAGCCCTGCTGTGGGTACCGCGAGCCTCACGGGGTCACAGGTAGGCACTGGGTGTGGCAGTTCCAGCCAAGCCTTACCTGTGGGCTGTCCAGCCTGACCCTGGTTGGGACAGATGTGTCTCCTCCAGATGTGTCTCCAGCTCAGGCCCCAGGTTCAGCAGAGCAGAGATGAGCTGCCCCTGCTAGGACAGTCCTGATCCAGCGAAGTGTGCACAGCTGGTACACTGGCCTCTGATTCTCATTGTGCAGCTGCAGGTCTCCCAGCACCCTCTTCTGCTGACTCCAAGCTCCTCCGCAGCATTGCGGCCGCCCCCTTCCTCTCAGGCCCCGTGTGCCCTGGTGGAGATGAGGGTGCCTTTGAAGCTGGAGGCCCTGTCACAGCCTCAACCAAGACAGGAAGAGGCCCTGGTAGTTTTATTGCCACTGATTCACTTCTTGATGTGGGAAGGCTGACCACATTCTTCCCTCAGCCTTGAAGGTACCATGCCGATGGCCCCTGTGGGCCTGGGCTGGTACCCCAGCCAGCACTGCTGGGGGTAGCCTGGGTGTGAGCGTGCGGCTCCGGCTATGCCAGCCCCAGGCATGGGCTGGAGGGTCCAAAGGAGGGGCAGGCCCTGGCGACAGAGCTGCCTTCTGTGGTGCACAGCGGGCACGCCCAGTCCCCCTCAGCTTCACACCTGGGGGCCCAAGGAGTGCCAGAGGCTGGGGGCAGGCAGAGGGGCCAGCTCAGTTCATAACACTAGTTTATATTCTGTCGCTGTTTTTTCAATTAAATGTGGGTGAATCTGAAGTAGTCAGATTTAGTCTAAATCCACACCACGGAGGAAACCCATGCTCTTTTTCTTTCTCATTTCTTTCTCTGAATTTTCACTGAGGGGCTTTTATCTTCCCCTTAATCCTACCATTTCTGTCAGGACATAATCTCTCTCTCAAATTTACATTTTAATTACAAGGCCAGCTGAACTAGGTAAAATCAATAATGTCAGCGCTGGGCAGCCCGCTTGGGCGCGGGGCCCCCTGCCTCTCCATTTCCTGCCATCGATTTCCCTCCACTGTCTGCTTTAGTGCTTCAGGCAAATAGGTGCCACTTGGTCAATTTAAACAAAAAAGGGGATTTGGACATTTTTATGATTCTTTCTAAAAGCGGCCGTGGGAGTGAAGTTGAGCCGAGATACTGGACTCAAGTTAGCCGCCGTGCGGGCAGGGCAGGCGCCAGGCTCGGCGGTGACGTGTGGCCTCCAGTTTTTCCAGGAGTCATTCTTCTTCCCGCAAATGTGTGCTCTCGGTGCCTGAGGAATGCTGTCTGCTTTTTGGGGTTTTACTTTGAAAGTATGTCAGTGAGATTGATTTTCTACGCGATGTGTGAGTGGGAGTGTTTTTAGTGCCCTGAGTATTTACCCTGCTTTAACACGCTTACCCATCTTTTTAATGGTTTAAAACAACAAATCGATGAAAAATATATTTCATTCTTGTAACTCTTAGGAATTCTCATATTGATCTTTTGGCTGTGATTGTATCTAAATGTCATATTGTTCACTTATCAGTCTTGCCTCCCTCACTGTTTGCGTGCATGTGTATGTGCATGTATGTGTGTGCGGGTGTGTGCACATATGCATGTGGGTGTGCATACGTGTGCACGTGTGTACTGGCAGCCTGTATCTGTGTCATGTGCATTGCCGGAATACGGAGGGGGCACTGGGCAGGTTTTGGGAGCAGAACCTGGGATGTGGCGGCAGGCACTGGGGCAGAGCAGGGGCTGCCCCAGGTGCACGTCTCCAGGGGCGGGAGGTCTGGCCCCGTCACCCGCCCTGCGTGACTCTGTCTGATGCCCTCCATTTTCAGCCCCTGGGAACCCAGGAAATGGGAGCAGCCCCACAGGCATGCAGCAGTGCATGGCTTAGGGGAGTTCCTGTGCAGGGTAGGCACCTTCTGTGAAGGGCCAGGGCATAGTCTCTTTGGCTTCGGTGGCCACACGAGGCCTTGTCTCCAGGCATAGATGATGGGTGTGACTGTGTGCCAGTCACACTCTATCATGAAAACAGGCAGGGCCTGGACTTGGCCCACAGCCACAGGCTGGCGAGCCCTGCAGACATTCAGATGGGATGCGGCGTTTCTGTGTAGTGTCAGGCTGACTCTGCCTAGAGCACCAGTGGCTCAAGTCAGAGGTGGCTTCAGACTCCCGAATTCTGTGAGCCCTTTCAGAGAGGCAGCTTTTTTCCCTCCTCTGCAACTCAGGGACGGGGTTGGGTGGGTCACCTCCTCGGTTTACGGGATGCTTGTCATGGGCCTGAGCAGGGCCCTTTGTCCTCAGCTTTCCTGGGAAGCTCCTGCCCTAGGCAGCCTTGCAGTACCCCAGGTTCTCACGCCACCTCATCCTCCTCCCAGCTCTTCTCTCCAAACAGAATATTCCTGGCTGTGCAGCTTGGTAAGTGGAGGCACCGTGGGTGTCCTCAGAAAGCTTGCTGTGAGCACACATATGTTCAGTGACAGCATGCTTGTAAGTACGTGTGTGTGTGCGTGTGTGTGTGTTCTCAGTAAGCCTGCATATACGGAAAGTCCGAATGTTCTTCAGTCGGCACATGTGTGTTCAGTGAGAATGTGTAAGTATGAGTGTGTGTGTGTTCTCAGCCTGCACAAACAGAAGGCCTGCACGCACTGCAGTGAGCACACCCATGTTCAGTGAGAGCGTGTCTGTGCGTGGACCTGTGTGTGTGCAATACATCATACCTACCTCAGTTTCCAGGCATCTGAGCGCTGTTTTTGACACTCTGTCTGTGGTCTCAGGACACTGTCTGGGCAGTGCAGATTCTTGGGAGGTGACTGAGGCCCCCTGTTGACTTTGGACTTGGTTTTCTTTTGTCAGTTCTGCATGTGTGTTAGAGAAGGACTTCTTGGATATTGTGTTACTCCATTTTCATGCTGCTGATAAAGACATACCTGAGACTGGGCAATTTACAAAAGAGGTTTAATAAACTTAATGGTTAAACATGGCTGGGGAGGCCTCACAATCATGGCGGAAGGCAAGAAGGAGCAAGTCACATCTTCTATGGATGGCAGCAGGCAGTGAGAGGGCTTGTGCAGAGAATCGCCCACTTTAAGACCACTGGATCTCGTCAGACTCATTCACTGTCATGAGACTAGCACGGAAACCGTCGGGTCTCGTGAGACCCGCCCGCCATCAGGAGAACAGCACAGGAGTGACCCACTCCCATGATTTAGTTATCTCTGACCTGCTCCTTCCCACGACGTGGGAATTATGGGAGCTACAAGATGAGATTTGGGTGGGGACACAGAGCCAGCCTGTATCAGATAAGAGGTCTCACAGCGTCTCTTAGTTGGTGGTTTTGACTGTGCTGTGCAAACCACCCATGATATGGCTCCTTCTCTGCCTAACAGCCACTTCCCAAGAGGGTTTGCTGAAGTTCCCACAGTCATGGGTACCCAGTTCTCCCTGGAGCCCTCAGCATCGCTGCTTATGTTTTGAGACTGCATTTGTAAGTTACATGTCTGTTTGTGTATATTACACCTTCCGGCATTCCTTCTTTTACCCTCCCGTTTTTTATTTTAAAGTCCGGTTTTTCTAGGACCCACCTGTGGCCCCCTCTGTCCTTTGGTGGTTTTCCTCGTAAATCTTTCTTTGTCCCTTTATTTTCAACCTGTCTCTAACCATTGTATTGAGTCTTGTTTAGACAGCACATTGCCAGAGACGTCCACTCCTGAGTCTGCCCTTTTGCTAATTTGAATCTGTGCAGTTAACGGTTGTTTCGAAGGCTTCGGAAGACACACCCAGCGGCGTGGCAGGTCCATCCATCTGTCCGTCCATTTTCTCTCCGACTGGCTTCCATTGTTGGCCTCTCATTTCTTCTTTCTCTCACCGTTTATGTGCCCAGTTCTGCTGGTTTTTATTCTTCAGATGGTCACTTCTTGTGGAAAGGGTTTACATGCATAGGTACCATTTACTATTTGCTTTTATAGTTTCTTTGTGTCTATACTATTTTCTGCACAAGACAAATCACCTAACACCCTCTCCCCACGTGGAGCCTCCTTCCACCCCATCACATAGGATCAGCCAGAACCAACTTAATTCGGGTTGATATGAACACTTGGGTTTGGGATAGGGCCAGTCAAGAGTAACCTTGACAAAGTCATGTGCTCAGTGTTCTTCCCGCATCTCAGGGCGCTCACCTCCGGTGTCTCAGGGCGCTCAGCTCCGGTGTCTCAGGGCATCTCAGGGCGCTC